CTGGCCTTTTTCCTAAATCCACGAAAAGTAGCTGTTCCAGAGACAAGAGGAAGTTAGCTGATAGTCACAGGAGAGGGCTCAGGTTCTACCATAGTAGAGCTGCTGGAAATACCCTGGGAGTGACGGGGCAGTTCACATCTGTGTGGTATGGGGACAGCCACTGAGGGCAAAGCTGCCATTCTCCTCAGACATCTGTCAAGTCCTAGCCTCAGGGTCTGCATCTGAAAGATGGGAGAACAGTGGTCCCTGCTTTGGTGGGCTGATGGGAAGATAGAGAGGGAGAGAGGGGAGAGGGGGAGGAAGGAGGGGAGAGAAAAGAAAGGGAGGAGAGAGAGAGAGAGGGAGGGAGAGAGAGAGAGAGAGAGGGAGGGAGGGAGGGAGAGAGAGAGAGAGAGAGAGAGAGAGAGAGAGAGAGAGAGAGAGAGAGAGAGAGAGATGGGCGGGGCATCTTCAGCCTGCCTTCCATACTTTGGAGGCCTCTTGTCCACAACTGCCTTTTCAAGTACTAATCCTGGTATTTATTGGTGAATCCACTGCTGACAGCCAAGTTAGAAGGCCATTCAACCCCACCCTATCTTCCATGAATGCTCCGCTAAGAAGGGCAAGCAGCCACCTGGCTCTATCCTGCCCATGGCACAGTTTCTGAACACAAACCTGGTTGAATTTCAAGCCACACAAATGAGTGTGCTCACAGGAACCTTGGGGGTTTCTACGGCAACCATAGGGCTATGAGTTTGAGAAAAGCTATGTGCTCAATGCCTAGAGGAGCCAGGCCAGCGAACTTAGAGGAAAAGAGAGGTGTACAAGGCACACCTCAGCCCACCCACCGAAGGGAGCAGCGCATGAGAGATGAAGGCAAGACAGAATTTTCCCCTTGTGAAGGAAACAAAGGCCTTGAATTTGGTGGAAAAGCGAGAGTGGAAGAAACTAAAGAAAGGAGAGCGGCTCAGCATTGTGGGTGGTACTGAAAATGCTCATTTGGACTGGAGAGACGGCTCAGTGGCTGCTTCCAGAGGACCCAGGTTCAGTTCCCGGCACCCACATGGCAGCTCACACCTGTCTGTAACTACAGTTCCAGGGGATCCAACACCCTCACACGGACATAAATGTAGATAAAACAGCAATGCACGTGATTTTTTAAAAATGCTCAGTTATCCCGGAAGTGATGGTGCACACCTTTAATCCTAGCACAGCACCCAGAAGGTAGAGACAGGCAGAGCTCTAAGTTCAAGGCCAGCCTGGTCTACAGAGTGAGTTCCGGAACAGCCAGGGCTATACAGAGAAACCCTGTCTGGAAAGACCAAAAATAACTTCCAGCATCCTCACACCTCCTTTTAGGGCCTGTCCTCAAAGACAGTAGAGTTTGAAATTCAAAACACTGGCTTTGGAATCAGAACCAAGGGGCACAGAGCCACTGCTATAGACTGGCCAGGTCTTGTGGGACAAGCACTTATCCAGGCTCCATCTTCAACTTCCTCTGAATAGAAAAGAACACCACGAAGACGAGGGCTTTGTCCACCTTACTCACTGGAGTGTCTCGAGAGACTCACAGTGTATCCGTCTGTCCATCTGTCTGTGGGTGGGTAAGTCAACTAATGTCTAAAGGCAGAGAGTTACAGTGCTGAAGAGTCTGGATCCTGGAACCCAACTCACTGCATTGAAGTGGGATTCGGGGACTGTGAGCTGACCAAGAGGGTGCACACTGGCTGTGTACCCTCTTAACACTGAGCTCTGTCCCTGTCACCTGCAGTGGAAGAAGAGAATCAGATTCCCCAAACTGCCCGCCTACCTCACATATACCACGGCACCAGCGAGCCCATGCTCACACACATGCACACAATTATGATAAGCTAAATTAAAATTTTTAAATGCCAGAATTCAGCTACCTCTTGTCTCTTTTACAGGTAAGATAATCTTTCTGTTTCCTCATTGGAAAAATGAGGACTTAAACTAAGAGTGCTATGTGGAGGTTTAAAAGGCTTTACTATAAAAAAAAATACATAAAACCATAGCTGGGCTGACTGTGGTGCTGCATGCTTTTAATCCTGAGAAGCAGAGGCAGGCAGATCTTTGTGAGTTCAAGACTACCCTGATACAGAGAGTTCCAGGCCAGTCAGGGCTACACAGTGAGACCATGTCTCAAAATAACAGCAAAAACAAAGAATCAAAATGAAAAGAAAAAGAAAAAAAACGCATCTGCGGCTGGAGAGATGACTCAGAAGGTAAGGGCAAACCGAATGCTTTGCAGGGGACCTGGCTTCAATTCCCAGCACCCATGCGGTGGACCACAGCTCTCAGCTCCGGATGTCCAATGCCCTCTTCTGGCCCCTGCAGGAACAAGCCATACACAGTACACAGGCATGTATGCAGGCAAAATACTTACATACATAAAATAGCTATGTGCTTTAGCTATTGTTTCTATGATAAGAAGGGACAAAAATCCAGAGAGCTGCTAAAAATCCAGAGAGCTGCTCGCTATCCCGTTTAGTTCCAATCTTCTCATCGCTTACACTGTATCCTACTCTGGTAAACTGTAACCCAGTGTTATTAGTTTTAAACGGAGAGGATACTTTTTAGCAGCCACCTCATGACCTGCCACATGCCAGCTCACACTAAATGCTGGCCATCACCATTTGTTTGAAGTCATTCTGACCTTAGCAGCCCTGCAGGATGATGACAAAGCCTTCCAGATCAGCTCAGCGCGGGAGCGGGCAACAGGGGCGGAGGGAAAGAAGATCCCCAGGAAAACTGCTGTTGGCACGAACTGAATGAGCCGAGAGGGAGCAGAGCTGACTGTCATGTTCAGCTTAGCCGCAGGCTATAGAAACAGACTTGAGAAAGAGCAAACAGGAGGAAAGCAGCGCTGTGAAGCAGCACACACACTGGCTAGAACGGGCTGTTAATACACCAGACCAATTTCCTCCATGCAGCTACTTCCACTCCCAGTCAGACCGGCAGGTACAATTCTGCTTCTACTTGATTTTTCACGCTAGCATGAGGGGCGTGGGAAAAGGGAGAGCAGAGGGCTGCTCCGGTTCTTGGGCTCACGATCTCTTGCTGAGAGAATCCATTAGATGCTAAGGCAAGATTGTTTATGATTACATCCTCAAATGGCTAACTGCAATGATCACTTCATTTGTTCACCCTTACACACATTCATCTACAGACTGGGGTGTGTGTGTGTGTGTGTGTGTGTTACTACAGAGCAAATTCAGGGCCTTGCACCAGTATGCTACATCCCTATTGTCTTACTTAGGGTTTCTATTGCTGCAACAAAATACCATAACCAAAGAAACAAGTTGGGCGGGCGAGGGTTTATTTGGCTTACACTTCTATATCACTGAAGGAAGCCAGGGCAGAAACACAAACAGGGCAGGAACCTGAGGGCAGGAGCTGACGTAGAGGCAATGAAGGGGTGCCTCTTACTAACTTGCTCCTCATGGCTTGCTCAGCCTGGTTTCTGATAGAGCCCAGGACCACCAGCTCAGGGAAGTCACCACCACAATGGGCTGGACCCTCCCCCATTGATCACTAACCTAGAAAGTGCCCTACAGCTGGATCTCATGGAGGCATTTCCTCAACAAAGGCTCCTTCCTCTCTGGTGACTCAAGTTTGTATCAAGTTGACACAAAACCAGCCAGTATACCCATGCCTTTTTTTTTCTTTTCTTTTTTTTCTTTTTTTTTTTTTTTGATGAGGTTTCATCTTGTGAAGGCTGGCCTTGAATTTGCTATGTAGCTCCAGTGGCTTTAAATTCACAATCCTCCTGTCTCTGCCTCCCAATTGCAGAGATCACGGTTCTGCACCACCACACCTGGATTAAAAAGATCCTCATTTGATTTCATGAGCTAAGTTGTGGGGCAAGCCTAAGGATCAGGGTGCTGCCTTCCGGCCCTTCTGAGCCTCACTGACATTCAGTGAGTCATTCTGTGTGACAACAGCTGCAACATGAGACAGAACGTGATTGTGCTCTGTGAAGTTAGAGGACTCTTTGGTGTTCACATTCTGAGAGTGACCTGTCTGAGGAGCGTCTCACTATGAATCCTCAGCTGGCCTGAAACTCACCATGTATACCAGGCTGCATTAGACTCACAGAGACCCTCCTGCCTCGGCCCCTGAGTGTTGGGGATTAGAGGACTCTTTGGTGTTCACATTCTGAGAGTGACCTGTCTGAGGAGCGTCTCACTATGAATCCTCAGCTGGCCTGAAACTCACCATGTATACCAGGCTGCATTAGACTCACAGAGACCCTCCTGCCTCGGCCCCTGAGTGTTGGGGATAAAGGTGTGTACCACCATGCCCAGTTGGCATTTTCTTGACTGCTGACTCTTGAAGTGAGAGGGCTCAGCCCACTGTGCTTGGTGTTGTCTCTGGGCTGGTCGTGCTGGCTGTATAAGAAATTAGGCTGAGTGCTGGGGAGAGAGACGGCCCACAGTTAAGAGCACGGGCTGCTCTTCCAGAGGTCCTGAGTTCAATTCCAAGCAACCACAAGGTGGCTCACAACAGTCTGTAATGAAATCTGGCGCCCTCTTCTGGTGTGAAGGCAGAACACTGTATACATAACAAATAAATCTTTTTAAAAAGAAGTAGGCTGAGTAAGCCATGGGGGCAAGCCAGTGAGCTGCATTCTCCACGGCCTCTGCTTCAGTTCCTGCCCTGACTCCTTTCATGGTGGACTACAAACTGTAAGATAAAATAAACTTGGGTTTTTATTTTTTTGAGACAAACTTCCTTCCCAGGTTGCTTTTGGTCACTGTTTCTCACAGCAATAGGAAGCAAGCTAGGACAGCATGCGGCTTGGAGAAAGGCAGAGGATGAAAGAAACTGAGGAAGTTTCAGGAGAACTGCTTAACAGTATTTAATAAGGTCTGGTGACATGCCAAGAGAGCAGTGAAACAGGGACACCATTCCAGATACTTCTGTAGTGGTAGCATAGTGTACACTGCGGTAAAACCCACAATGCACTTCTCCTTTGGTCCCCACAGGACTCTGTGGCATGATTCTATTGTGCCCGTTTTATAGGTCTGGCGGCCCAGAGAAGTTAGCAAACAAATTGAAAACCTGGGTCGGTTCACCCAAAGGCTTCTAAGAGAAAAGAACGGCTTCTGCAAGTGTGCTCTACCCTCCCCCACCCCACAGAGGGAGATGCGGATCAGGGAATAAAGTGCTAGCAACGCCAGAGGCGCAAGGAAGAGGAGAGCCCACGGGGAAACAGGGCCACACCACCTGAAAGAACTCCTCTGGCCTTTGGAAGGGACTTCCCACCGAGAGCTGTTTCCAGGCATACCACACTGAGCCTTCCGTGCACCGGGTCCCTGTGTAACTTCACTGTCGGGCGCCACAGAAAGCCTGCTCCGAAAAACCACCCTGTGATTCGTGCTGAATGAATTCCTGGCATACACTGTCAGAAGGTAAAAGGCAGGTGTAGCTCCCCCGATGCTTTGAGTAGGTACTTGTTCAAATCATGTAGCCTCTCTAGGAACAGTTTCTGAAAGGAGTGGTGTATAATTTCTCCTCTGTAGCGGTGGTGAGGGGGTGGATTCTGACGAGGAAACTCTAATGGAGGAGGCAGGGGAAAGACTGGATCAGATTTGGGAAGATCAAAGGATAGAGGTGAGCCCCACCTCTGGAGATGGTAGGCTGGAGGTGGAGGGGTGGAGATGGAGGGCTGAGAGTGGAGGGGTGAGGGTGGAGGGGTGAGGGTGGAGGCGTGGGGGCAGAGGGGTGGGAGTGGAGGGGAGTAGGAGGAGGGGTGAAGGGTAAAGGGGGAGGGGCTGGAGGGGGGTTGGTGAGGGTGGAGGAGTGAATGGGGAGGGGGTGGAGGGGTGAGGGGAGAGGAGAGAGGAGAGAAAGGAATTAGAAGTGTGTGGGACAGAGAAGCAGTTTCACATTCCCTCAGGACATCCCTGGGAGCCCAGGCTTCCTGGTCCCCGCCCACCCCATCACCGTCCTCAGGGAGCTCCTCCATGTCTGCAGGGCTGCTCCTCTAACCTCCCGTCTCCCCCATCCCTACCCCTGCAGCGCCCCTGCCTTTGCCCTTAGGTGGCAGTTGCCTCCCAGCCTCTTTGTACCAGCTTGCTCTCCGGTTGCCGCCTGCCTTCCTTTGTTCCACCTCAGGGATCAGAACCAGGGCAATTGCCAGATGCCCCGCAGCCTGACCTCCAGCCCACAGGCATCCTTACTGCCTGCAAAGGTAGGTCTCAAACTCTGCCATGCACCAGAGTCACTGGCAGGGAACAATGCTTGTTTGTTTGTTTAGAGACAGGGTCTCCTGTAGCCCAGGCTAGCCTCAAACCAAGGATGATCTTGGTCCTCTTGTCTTCACTTCCCGTGCTGGAGTCACAGGCACGCACCCCACATCCAGCTTATGCACTGTACGGAGTCAGACCCAAGGCTTCTTGCATAAGAGCTGGCAAGTCCTCCTAGAATGTACAGGGCAGGTAGGTACCCAAAGGATTCTCATGATCTGGGGACACTGGCATTTACTGTCCATTCAGCCTTAGTCATGCTCTGGCCTGTGCTGAGCCTGGCACTGCGTGTCTATGAGAAACTGGGAGCAGTTTGAAGACAGATGTATGATGGGCCCTAGACTGTGCCCTCCACGGTACCACGGTATTCAGAACAGGTACCCAAATCCCACTGGATGTATCGAGTAGCATGAAGAGTTCATACTGAATTTTAGGCACTGTTTACGGAGCAAGGCAATCTGTCTTCAGGAACATTCTACTTTTTTTTTTTCCTTCCAGACCTCAACCAACTTCTGGGCTGTCCAGTCTTTCCTTTGCAATAAACATGTGCTTTCTTTAAAAAAAAAAAGATTTATTTATTTATTTATTACCTATACAGTGTTCTGTATACATACTGGAAGAGGGCACCAGACTGAATTGTAGATGGCTGTAAGTCACCATGTGGTTACTGGGAATTGAACTCAGGACCTCTGGAAGAGCAGTCAATGCTTTTAACCTCTTGAGCCATCTCCCCAACCTGATAAGTAATTCTTATAAGAAGTTTGGCAGAGGAGAGAAGTAGGGTAGTCAGCCCCTGCAGAAGAGTGGAGGGCCCTGGCCTAATATTGTACTGGGTTAAGAAGAGAAAGACTTGAGCTCGTTTAAGTATCATGGAGGGAAGCCAGGAAGGAGGCCAATGTGGGAAAGAGAGGCAGAGGCCCCAGGGCGAGGGAAACTAGGATCCCAGTGGGCGGGGGGGGAAGCTGGCAGGGCAGGGGCACACGGCCTACTGTAGGTGTAAAAAGAAAAAGATGGGCTTAGATGCAGGAATAATGAGGCTGTAGACTTTAGGTGACTCCCAGCTCTAAGTCCATGGAATAAAATTGCCATGGTGTCACCGGCTTAATATGTCACCTCTCCCTGGCAGAGCTCTAAGCCCCAAGAAATGAATCTTCCGTGAGACTCTCTCCGGCTGGAAGACGCCTGCCAGTGGAACAGCAAGGACTTCCCAGTGGCACAAAGTGGAGACGGGAAGGGAGGGATAAATACACCCAGCTGTGACAGCGGAAGGACCAGAGCAGGGTCATGGAGCTAAGAAGTGCTAGGGCCAGATTTAGAGTGTTGCTCAGCTCAACCCTCAAACTCATCTGTCTGACCCATCCGTTCACGCTCCCTGGCCACCCGGCAGTGCAAGGAGCAGGTGGAAGGCGGGGCAGAGAACAGCTCTTTCCTAACCCTCAGAATGAGAGCTTGGGGTGCCATGGCCCACCCCTTACCCACACACAGTCCTGGGGCACCTGGAAGTGACAGGAATAATAAGAGCACTAACCATTTTCGGATGCCTTCTTACCTGAGCTGGCATGCTCAGTGCCGGGAACAGTGTATGAGAACCTGGATGGCAAATGTACATCCTCCTCCTCTTCCTCCTCTTCCTCCTCTTCCTCACTGTCATTGTCTTTGTTGGGGGCCAGGGACCACTCTGTCCACTAGATACTTAATTTTATGTGGTTTCCCTGACTATGAAAGTATTTAAGAAGAAAGAACTCTAACGAGAAATGCATCCCTAACCTACGACGGCTGAATGTGAGGTGGCGGAATGAGGGAACGCGGCGTTCAGCACTGGCTGGCATTCTGCCTCTCCTGACCTTAACAGTGGCATCTCGGACACAGCAGGCTTCCATTCCTCTGTTTCCCTATTGGTAAATGAAGACAACAGTGGCCTTTTCTTTTTAAAGACTTGTTTTTTAAAGTTATGTTCATGAGTGTGTGTCTGTGACACGAGGGGAGGGAGCTGGATCCCCTGGAGCTAGAGTTAACAGACAGCTGTGAGCCACCCAACTTAGCAGATGAACTTGGGTTCTCTGCAAGAGGCTATTTCTCCAGCCACAGGAATAACGGTTCTTGGAAAATTTAAATAAGATGAGATACATAAACTACTGAAATGGCACTTGGCACATGGCCAGTAGTCAACATAAATGGTCACTATTGATATTATTGTTGATACTTCACACTGTTCTACATAGCCCGAATCTCAGGAGCAAGAAACCAACGGTAAGAGCTCATGTCAAATTTTTTTTCAGACTATGTGCTAGCTAGTTTGATGTGAACTCGACACAAGCTATAGTTATCTGAATGGAGGGAGCCTCAATTGAGACAATGCCTCCATAAGTTTGGACTGCAGGACATTTTCTTTGTTAGTGACTGATGGGGAAGATCCCAGCCCACTGTGGGTGGTGCCATTCCTAGGCTTGTGGTCCTTGTGTTCAATAAGAAAGCAGGCTGAGCAAGCCAGTAAACTCCTCCATGGCCTCTGCACCAGCTCCTGCCTACAGGGTCCTGCTTTGTTGGGGTTCCCTACCCTGATTTCATTTGATGATGAACTATAACCTGGAAGCATAAACTGAATACCCCTTTCCTCCCTAAGTTGCTTTGGTCATGGTGTTTCATCATCTAAGACAGACTAGACACGGCCGGGCGTTGGTGGCGCACGCCTTTAATCCCAGCACTCGGGAGGCAGAGGCAGGCGGATCTCTGTGAGTTCGAGACCAGCCTGGACTACCAAGCGAGTTCCAGGACAGCCTCCAAAGCCACAGAGAAACCCTGTCTCGAAAAACCAAAAAAAAAAAAAAGACAGACTAGACACACACACACACAATTTCACATGTCCTCGTTCATTTGCCAAACATTATGGATTACTCTCAGCATGATCCCAAGAGACTAAGGGTATAACTCTGTGGTACAGTGTTTACCTAGGATGTACAAGAACCTAGACTATCCACAAGTATGGAAAATTAAATTGATAATCCTAGTGATATGAACATGCCATTTTGTCTTTGCCATATCTGAGATGGCCACATCTTCACACCACAAATATTTGAAGGGGACAGCTAAAGGCTGCTACAGCGTGGAGCATGGGTCAGCGGTGTTTTCTCTGTAAAGGCCCAATCAGGAACAACTGAGGCTTTGCAGATCATGTGGTCTCTGTTGCAACTACATACCTGTGTGGTTGGCACTGACAACCAGAGACAACACTCAGATGAAAGAAAGCAGAGGAACCCAATAAAACCATAGAGATTAAAATCTGGATTTCATGTAACTTCCACATCACAAAACATTATTCCTTTGATTTTTTTCTTTTATAACCACTACTTAACAATGTAAAAAATATCCTTAGTTTTCAGGCTGTACTGTGCAAAGGGCATCAGGGTGGATTTGGCCTTTGGGTCACAGGGAGCAAAGAGACCTGCCATTCTGGACACTGGTTGAGGATTAGAGGAGCAAGGACAGCTCTATACCTTCTCAGAGGAGAGTGCAGGGTCCTCACCTCCCACCAGACCTGTGGAAGCCCCCTGACTCAGCTTCTACATCAAACACTGCAACCTCTGTGAAGGGTTTCCCAAACTTCTCTGAAGAATTAAAAGCTGGTCTCTCCCCATTTCTCTGCACTTCTTCTCTGGTGCTAGAAGCAATCATCTGCACCCCTGATCCTACCAGGCCACAGGCTCTTTGTATGTTGCAGGACTTAGCTACACATCTGGAGGTGATGGAGCACGCCAATCGCTCAGCTTCGCCCTCACTCTGGGTGCAAAGGAATCAGAGTGTCTTAAGGAAACACCCCCTCTCTCTTTGTCTCTCTCTGTCTCTCTCTCTCTGCCTCTCTCTCTCTGTCTCTCTCTCTGTCTCTGTCTCTCTCTGCCTCTCTGTGTCTCTCTCTGTCTCTCTGTCTCTCTGCCTCTCTCTCTGTCTCTGTTTCTCTCTGCCTCTGTCTCTGTCTCTCTCTGCTTCTCTGTCTCTCTGTCTATCTCTCTGCCTCTCTGTCTGTGTCTCTCTCTGTCTCTCTGTCTCTCTCTGTCTCTGTCTCTCTCTGTCTCTGTCTCTCTCTGCCTCTCTGTCTCTCTGTCTCTCTCTCTGTCTCTCTCTCTGTCTCTCTCTCTGTCTCTCTCTGTCTCTGTCTCTCTCTGCCTCTCTGCCTCTCTGTCTCTCTCTGTCTCTCTCCCCCCTCTGCCTTCACCTCCCCTTCCTTCCCCCTCCCCATCTCCCTCTCTCCAGGACACTCCCTTAGAGCAGAGGCATACCTCTCTTATGATAGCCCTGGCAGCAGTCCTGGCACAACGATTTCGAATACGAGAGAATAGCAAGCACTCGCCAAATTAAATTCAGAACAATGCCTTTGGTTCAACTTTTAATGTATCTTTCATCCTTATGAAAGATACACATTTCATTGCTGGGCAAAAGATGTGATATCAAAGATAAATTTCCTTTTCCTGGCTTTAGACCCCTTTCTGTTCGTATTAAACTGTCTTTCACTGAGATAATTGCATGATTTCCATTTTGGGTGTCCCGAGGTCAAGCAACCTCAGGTCCAGAGGAACTAGGAACACAGCTAGAATACTCTGGGAGCTTTCATTTCCTTGCTGCTCTATAGGGCAGAATGACATGAACCCTTGAGCCAGGCTGGTAGGAAATCTTCCTCGAAGTACCCATCTCAGAATGATTTTAAGTTGAACTCAAGACTTTGGCAGACCATTTAGCTGGAGCTAATGATCTGGGTAGTTGTGTCCAAACAGTCCTGAGAGACCTGCAGGGGCCAGATCATACTTCAGTCTCTTTGCCTATTCAGAGCTACTGTGACTTCATGTTCATGGTGAAGACCAACCATGACAGGTTTCCCCCTGTCTGGCTGTCTCCAAGAACTGCTGGAGAATTCCCTCCACGGTTTAGTGTGCCTCCTCTCATCTGCTCCCTTGGGGAAGTCGCTTTGTTTACCAAAACCAGTTGCTCCCTCTGGTAGCTCTGCCACGCCTTCATGCTCCACTGAGCTGCACAGTAGCAGGTCTCAGAGAAGAACATTACAAACCCAGCCCATGGTGAACGTGGTGTGTCCTTGCCTCACCTCAGCTAACAATAAGAACCTTTCTCGGGGTTTTCCACACTTCTTTTCACAGGAGAGAGAAAAGAACAGAATGGCTTCTCGGACCTATGAAAAAGCCCGTTACATTATTTACTACATGTGATAACGTGTTAAGAGCTTCACATTGGGCTACTGCACCCTGGACAGTCGGGCTGGTCTTCCTTGGAAGAGGGCTGTGTGTGTGAAAGCACACACCTACCTCGGGATGAAATTTGTGAAACTCCAAATTACCATTCCTTAGCCTGTTCAAATAGCATTACCGCCATGAGTCAACTGCGTGGGGCTCAGGCAGATCTCTCTGTCCTTTAAGCTTTACCGGTTTTGAAAGTCTTCTGTAGATCTTTGGTAGGAATTAGAACTTCGCCAGAGCCTCGTTGCTCAGAAGGACAGCGGGATAACTGCTTAGAGAAAGAAGATGCATCCAACTCTTGAGCCAGTGGGCATTTTCCTTTCCATTT